GGGTGGTAGTACATAGACATTGATCGAGTCATGCGTCTGGTTTGAAACATTTCCGGATCATAGTAGTCTGCGATGTCTGGCTCACTCTTTGGAGAGGGGTCTCGCCTGCATGTAGGAGCCTGCTTTGGTGGTAAGAACTGTTCAGATGGTGGTGCACTGAATGTCGGGCGAAAAGCGGGTGCATCTGATCTCATTGTACTAGTCGTAGGTGCGTCTAATCTCATGGTGTTCTGTGCTACGACATCTGAATCATGGGAGATTGACCTGCTTGCTGTAGGGACATCGTCCTCTGCATTTTGCATGCAGTTTCCAAGTCCCATGCCATCCATGTCTCTCTGTATATGTTCTTTCACCTTATTGTGTGTAGGAGCTGTGATAGAAGGACTAGGTGAAGGTGTCTGCGTAGGAGTCTTACTCACAGAAGGTCCCTCTCCAAAGAGTTTAAAAACCAAGTCCTCAATAGCAAATCTCATGGTAGATCCAACTTTCATTCCATGGTCCTTCTTAAAGTGATCAATCAGCATATGCTTGACACCATGTCGCTCTGAGCTGATCTCAGCCAACAACCCCTGTGCAAGAGTAGTTTGAGGAACTGTCCCGGTACCTGATCCCTGCGCTGATTGAGTACCATTTGTGTGTGTCTTCAATGGTGGAGAACTCATATGTGTCGGCTCAGGGGGTACATCAGTAGTAGCTGTGGTAATAGGAGCTATGGAAGTAATAATAGGAGAAGTGGGTACCTCGATAGGAGCATTTGGAGTAGGCTCAGCAACTGAATGAATATACGGAGGTACCTCTGGATTAACTGTGATACGAGTAGAGGTAGGAACTGTTGATGCAGATTCTGACTCTGTCACAACTGCGGTAGTAGTAGTGGGAAGCACAGAAGGCACTGCTGAAACTGGAACCCACTGCTTCTTTGGCTCCACAAACGTCACCTTGCCCTTATCCTTATCAGTCCTAGTAATAGGGGGTCGAACAGGGGGGTGCACAACAACTGTAGGAGGAGGAGGAGGAACCGTAGTACACTGATCATAAGAATGCCCCAAGTGTTTACAAGAGAAGCAAAAAATTCGCCGCTTCTCATAGATAACTGTCTGCGAGAAGCCACAGTTATCAGCGCGCTTAATCCAAACCCTGTCGGGCAACTTATGCCCCAAATTCACCTCAATGCACACCCTTGCCTCACTAGGTCGTCTCAAGTCGGTGGTGGCCTCATCAATTCTCAAGGGCATTCCTATTGCCCTAGATAAGGCGAAAAGGAACCCCTTCGCACGTAAATGTACTGGAAGCAGAGGGAACGATACCCAAATGGGAACTATCGGAGTCTCTTGCTCAGTTGTAAAGTCACATGTCCACTTAAGGACTCTCATTGGACAACCGTCAATATACCATGAAGGTTTAAGAAAAAGCCTGCTGTAATCCTCCTCATGTGTAAGGTGTATAAGAATGTGTGTTGTGTCAATCAGTCCCACCTCGAAACAACCATGGAACCCAAACTTAGAAAAATTCTCACGTACCTTCTTCATGGTTGGCTTGCGATGTGGAAATTTCCCCACAAGTGTATACTTGTAAGGATCAGCAAGTGTAGCCTCCTCGGACTCAGTCAAAATCACTGCCGGCTCACCCATATGTATAAAGGGTTCTTTAGCAGCAAACCCAGCAGTGGAAGAGTCATCTATACCCTGTATGACCGATGTAAACGACTTCCGTGAACTCCGCTCAGCTTGAGATAGGCTTGGACGGCTAGTAACTGCAGTAGCATAGGTCTTTCGTCCCTGATTGAGCACTGTCTGGGCCTCATGTGGAAAAACCAATGACGAAAATGGATTTAGATTAACTGGAAGAATATTTTGGATAAAAGTTGCCGGAGGGTCACCGGAATGCCGCCGGCCGGCCGCTAGCGGCTCCGTTTTCCGGCCAAAATCAACCGGAGGCAGAATTTGATGATTTTCAACAGTCTTGTGCGGAATTTCATGCTGAATAACGCGGTCAGGCGCGTTTCCCGAGGTGAGAACCGTAGAGGCCGGAAATCGCAATTTTTCGACAAACTGCCCGTTTACGTTTGGTGCCGTAACAGGAGCGTCCGACCTCCGATTGGCGTGATTTTTTGACCGGAGTTTCATCATTTCATGGAAATTCTGAATATGTGGCGCGTGTCTCTGTTGGAGGTTCGTACGAGAATTAATTTCAAAATCAGTTTCGGGCTGCACTTTTTCCAAAGTTTCAATTCCGGCGAAATTGGACGTCGAGGACACCACCCCAGGGGTTTTTGGGCCTTCTGAGTTCATTGGCGGTGGTCCCATATCCAAATTCTGATCAGAAGTGGGTGTTTTGATGACATTGGGATTCGTGCCATGATTTTTCAAACTTAGATCTATTGACTTGGGGGTTGAATCTGATATTGGTGTTATAGGAGATGTTTGGGTGGTTGTTGGTGATGATTTTCCACCACTTGGAGTGGTGCAATCCGGTGGTTTCGGTGGTGGATCAGGTTTGTTTGAGTTTTGGAGGTTTTCTCCCATTCTAGAGAGAAGGGAGAGCGTTTTGGAGGTAGAGAGTGGTTTTTTTTTAACCTTGTGGGGGTTGTGGGCCGTAGGGTTTAGGGTTTAGGGTTTTGGGTTTAGGGTTTTAGGGTTTAGGGTTTAGGGTTTAGGGTTTAGGGTTTTTTTTTTCACAGACACAAAGATGTAAGAAGATTGATCAAAATAGTGTTGGTCGAGTCCAAATATAGGACTGAAATGCACAATACCATCGAAATGTATATTATACACTTGTTGAAAAATTATGGTCCAAATGCATTTTATAAGATAGTGAAATCAATTCATTATTGTACAGAATTGCATGTTCCTGAAGTTGATCCCACAACACATGCGTGTACGTTGTTACACCCACAGAGTAACTCCCCA